CCATCGGCTCTGGTCAGGTCCTGCAGAGGGGCTTCCCATTCTGAACAAGTGGGCAGACTCGGGCCTGGACATTCCCTTGGCCTGAGCATTCTCTTCCTCCGTTCAGTCATGCACACGTGTGTGTGCACATGTGTATGGATTCAAATACATTCACACACAGAGAGGGAGAGAGGGAGCGCTCTTGTGCGAGGGGCGCGTGCGCGCGCGCGCGTGTGTGTGTGTGTATGTGCACACGAATTTTCTGAGCTTTGTCGACATGTTGATTTTAAAACTTGAATAGAAACGAATGGCATTTACAATACTATCTCATAAATGTTGTTTACCACAGAAAGAAGATTTGTGGCTAGAATTATGGAGAAAGAGATGTAATGTTTTATTGTAAAGCTTTGGCTGGTTGGAGGAGAGTCTTCTGCGTCGCGGGGCCTTGCACGGCTTCGTGCAGATTCTTTATGCCCTGCGCTTCCCCAACTCAAATCAGCTGGCCTCCCCTCACTCCATGTTGCCATGCCCAGTCTCTGGACCCATTTATCTGCAGGAGTGGCCACCAGGTCAGCTGTCCCTGCAGGCGTGATGGCAAGGGGTGTGGCACACCTTGGGTGGTGTGTCCACTGAGACTGGCTGGTGCCCTGGGGCCTGTCTTCCCCATCAGAGCTGGAGACAGGCCCCAAGGAAAGCCCTTGATTTCTGGCTGTGGGACAGTGGATTGGCTGCTGGTGTCCTTGTGTCCGGCAAGGTTTCCAGAGTGCCTTATCCTTCTTGGTCTGGGTCTGCCGTGAGGTCTGTTTGGAATGCAGCGAGCCCATGCAGCCGGAGGTGTGTGCCAAGCCTCTGGTGAGCTCCTCTCTGCACCCTTCCCCCCTGAGACTTTGCACCCAGGGGAAGTGGAGCCTGGGGTGCCCGGGGTGCCCTCCACGACTCGTTTTCCTCTGCCTTTCCTTTCCACAAGTCTCCACTGTGGGAGACATTTCTGCCTTTTCCTCATCTTCTCCTCTGCCCACTCATTACTCTTTGGTGCATCTCTCATCACTTAATATCGTGTCCATCTCCAAGGGTCCGGCTTCCCTGGCTTTCCACTTGGTCATCAGCGCCCGCTTTTCTCGGACGGGCACCACATTCTCTCTCTTTGGAGAATGATGCTATTTAGACTTATGGAGGTTGCTTTCCCCCGAGTTACTTTTGTCCTCCAGGAGTGCCGCGTGGATGCATCCTGAGCCTTCTCTTTTACACCTGGGCTCTCTGCAGGTTCCTGGGATCCTGCCTGCCAGTCCTGTCTGGGTGGGAGAGAAAGTGGAGGTCTGGTGTAGCAGGTCACTGTGGTGAACCATGCCCTGGGTATCCCAGGGTGCTTCTTATTTGCCCAGGACAGCTGATGGGGCATGTGGACAGGTGACATCCTAGAAGTGGTAACAGAGCCAGATGGGCATCTCCACAGGGGCAAGCGCTTGTGCATTTCATGGTGGGGGAACCTGCCACCTTGGGATTGGCCAGTCCTGCTCATTCCGTTGGCCGTGGAGTTCCTCGCCTCCTCTCAGGCTCTGGCTTCTCACTGGGGCTGGGATCCTGGATAAAAGCCCAGTGGTGAGCACAGCCCACCTGCAGTCCGGTGTTTCTGAGAGTGGCCACGTGATATGAGACACCTGTGCCTTGTTGGTGACAGTCAAGGAGGCAGCAGCTAACCTGTTGTGCCAATGTCCCTGCCTGTGTGCGTAATGAGGCGATGTCAGGTCCCCCCAGAGACACTGAATGAAATGTACCCTGCCCTGCAGGCTCCCAGGCTTCAGGCATTGTGGGGACCCTGTCTGGCTGAGGGCCCTCTCCTTAATAGCTTCTGCCTCTGGCCTCAGCTGGACTTGTCCTTAAGTGGGTGGGAGCACAGCTGCCAGCAGCTTTGGGGACACAGCACTAGCCAGATGCCTCCTGCTGCCTGCTGGCCCGTCCACCTCTGCCCCTGGGACTGGGCTCTCTTTCACTCCCAGTCTGTCCTGGAGCATGTGGGCATCCTCCCGGTGGTCTTCCCTTTTGTGCAGCATGGAGCTCGGCTCCCCTTGCCCTCTCTGACCTGCCAGTTCATGGTAGTGCTGTCATTTCCAACGGGTCTCCTCCTGAGGCCTGTGTGAGTTTCACCTGCTGCCATCCAGAGCTGAGTGTCCAGGGGTAGGGGCCTCCATGGTCTGCACAGCCGACCAGCTCTTCCTGGTGGAGCTTTGCCCTTCCCACCTGTGCTCTCCTTCGAGGGAACCAGCTGAGCCATGTGCTTTTCCTAACAGGAGACCTCAGCCACCCTGGGCACCCAAGTCCCACCTGAGGAAAGTGAGCAGGCTATCCTCTCTTTACAACTTTATTTTCCTTTCTTCTCTCAATCCTCTTTACAGTCGGATCCTCCAAACAGTTCTTTTTAAAGTTCCTTTAGTGAATTTTAAGATAGTGTTCAATCTTCAAGATTTCAAATAATATGCGCCTGATTGGGGACACAACCCATGTCAGAGGTGGCCTTGTTTCTTGATTGAGGTCCCTCTGGGGTCCTGCTGGGGTGTGTGTGATGAACACCTAGAAGACTCTGAGCCCACTGAGGCGGAGAACTCTGCTCCAGGTGCGGTGGGTGTGCAGGCCAGTGACCTTGGCGGAGGTCAGGCTCTGCGGGCTGGGCGGGGCAGGGTGTGCGACTCCGCCAGAGAGGGAGACACACTGGAAAGTGTCTCCGGGTGAGGAGAGGGCACAGTGGGTGTGTACGGAGGTGGGACTTTTCCAGGGACTGCTTGAGGGAGACAAGATTTAGTCCCTCTGAGGCAGGCCCAGGGTTGCCTGGCTGCTGTCATCTGGGACCACCTCTCCGGGTCGAAGGACTCTGGCACTCCTCTCTCCTGGCCATCTTCAGGGACAGGGGAGGGGTGATGCAGGCAGAGGTGAGGCGTTGCTTGTCTCTCTTCTGACCAGGACTTGGGCCAGGCAGACACATCAAGCATGGCTCTGCCCTTCACTTACTGGTTGACTAGTGCCAGCTGCCAAGCATCTACAGGCCTCAGTTTCCCCAAATGGGCACTGAGGGACTTGCTCTAGCTGACCTCTAAGAGCCCTTCATGCCCGGCCTCTTTCTCTTCTGGGTACATAGATACTTAATGCACAGCAGAAACAGCCTTCATGAAGCAGGTGGGCTGGAGGTCCTTCTTGACCCCTCCATGCAGGCCAGGCCCAGCCAGCCAGGAGCTGGAGCGCTGATTGCCGCCCACAGCTCTTGCTGGGCTCCTGAAGTTCAATTCAGGCAAGACAGCCTTGAGGCTTACCTTACCTTTGTGGGTGCTGGGTTCTGGACAGGACAGGAAGGGGAGGATGGAGGCAGCATGGGAGGTACCTGCTGAGTTCCTCTGGAGGGGACCTTGTGCTACATGCCCTGAGAAACAGGGCAGCTGTGTGGAGGCTGGCACACACAGCATCATCCTGGAGCGACTCTGTGTGTGTGTGTGTGTGTGTGTGTGTGTGTGTGTTTTCAGGAAGATGTGCCATTTTCAAAACCCGTGGAACCACCTCCCCCAAGAGCAGCCTTCTCTGAGAGGGTCCAGCTGCAGAACAGTTCCGGGCAGTTGCCGAGCCTGGGCCTGGGTTCCACTGTCTCTCGCTGAGCAGTGGGGTGCGAGGGGGGCTGGGCACCACTTCAGGCCTTTGGTCCTTCACTCCCAGCGCCGGCCGCGGCTAGCTCTGCAGTGAGGCTCCTGTACACCTAGGTGGAGCCCGACCCGCAGTTTTCCGCTGGACTAGCCCCACCTGACCCGCTGGCGGGCCAGGCGGGGGCGCTGCAAGACGACCGGGTCCCCGGGGTCCCCTCCGCGGCCCAGTGCGCATCGGCGGCTCCGCGGGCCGGG